ATCGTTTACCTTTCTTCGTGAAACTCAAATTTATGCCTCTCGTTTTCGAACCGCTCTCGCGACGTCTTGGAAGATACCGCGTATTCACAAGTTCGATGCATAAGATCCATGTCAATCCTGAACTTCCCACTCGTTTCTATACAAAAGCAATTCAGACAAAATCTAACTCCATCCACATCAAACGACGCACCTTCTATTATTAAGAATATGTGCAAATCCAAATGTAATAAAATAGAATACAAAGGGCTGTGATAGTTGTATTAACAGTCTCTCTGCCATTTATGTACGTATAGGCGATAATGATCACAAATAAGGCTTACAAACGTTTTATGCTAAACTGCAAACAACTGCACAGTCAGCCTCTATCGGATTAGCAAACGGGAAGTAGCTATTAACCGAAGTCTAGCTTATGGCAAATGAACATAAGACTTAATTTCCTACAGATACACCAAAGTATTTTCCATCAAGAGACGTTGGTCCTCAAAATTCATCAGGTGTTCTCGTTCATGCAGAACGCCGCTGGATATTCCAAATCACCGGTCGCTCTGCCCCCTTCCTCTTTCCAATTTTCAGTCACCAGTAAATACTGCTCAAAGGTAAATAAACTGCCTGTTAAAACGCTTCTCCGTTAATCTGCAGAGCGAAACGGACAGAAGAATGGGAAAGCATTACGTTTTTCGTTTTATACATGTTCACACGCATGCCAGATACATCGCACTCGGATATGAACCTTTCCAGAAAATTCAGAAGAAGCCAACAGCAACCTTGTTGTCTTCGAATATCCTCTGTTTATACGCTCGCTTCCTTCCATGCGCTGGACTATCCTAGTCATGTATGACGAAAACATAAGAGGAGCAGAAGGCAGTATTGGCGAAAATCAGTGCAAATGCTAAATGGTTTTGATTTAACGATATTTACTCTGATGCAGCACCGGCTCTCAACACAGAGTGACGGATGGCTCGTAGCAACTAGTCATCGATCGCACACTTCCGCAAACAAGACATTATAACACTGCAGACACAGTTCCACTGGATTATATTCAGAATTTATTTTAAATGATGACACTTTTAACCAAAATCTTATCAAAAGATATATAGTATTTACCTTCAATCAGCGGTACTACGTATAACGTATTCGACGCTTTGTCTGGATCGTATTCAATTAACGAACTTCTTAGATTTAACACATGGTAAAAAATGTAGTGATGAAACGAACGCACAATCGAAAGCGTTTCTTCATTGAGGAACAGAAGGCTTCTTCCACTGCCTGTGACACTAATCATCGCGTCAAAATCTTTCGAGTAGATCGGAAAGCTTGGAACCTAAAGGCGAAGCGTCAGTTTCTATTAGAAACAAGTTCGTCAAAACCGCAGGAAAAGCTGTCTTCGAAAGTACGCCAAATCGTCTGTTGGTTTCATAGATACAGCATTCAGCGCAACGTTTGGAACTAGTCGGTTCTATCTTAAAGCCGTAAACGAAACATGTGGAACCGATGTCAGGTCTAGCCGTTGAAACAGCATCTGGTACCTGCAACATGAAAAGGTAGAGCGCAAAGACTTCGTTTTCACTGTACGTTCACAATTAAAAACAGTACAAAATAAAACAGAGCGTAAACTGTAGGCAGAAAGTCAGATCCATGTAATGGTAAATCAATAATCTTCAGCAAGGCGATTTTCAGCATTCAACCGATTGACTTATTTCTGTGTTTACGCAAATAAACAATTTTTATACATTTATCAGTTTTCAGTATGAACACCAACTAACGAACAAATTACTCAATAATAAGAATTACGTGGTAACGAACGACCATCAGCTTAATCTTAAAGGAAATCGACGAGATATGCACAGAAACATATGTCGTGGCACATCATAAGAGTTTTGCGTTGTGCATATATTAGGTTTTTATGCAGTGACCATCAGTGCGCAGAATATTGCTCAGAAACAATTCTCACCTTTATGTAGTAGTACTGCCTTCTTGCAAGGCCACCAGGCTGTCGTTTAGCGGCTATGTCATTTTCTAAGAAATACTTATAAAACGAAGTTTTAGTCATAGGTAATAAATTGTCGTCTAGTTCGCCACAAGCGTGCAAAACTTTGCATGCTTCTAACGCAGCAGCCATCCGTGCAAGCTTGGCGGTGGGCATCCTTGGACCCTGAGAAAATGATCCATAAAAATCATGGTCATCAAACAATCAACGTGAATACCTGTATCAATTCGAGGATGGGAGAGTTCAGGGGAAGGCGCAGCTTTGCAACGAACCATTTCGAATGTCCAGCCACCACAGACTCGACGGTACACGTGGGAATCTGCGGTTTCAACCCATCAGAAGGAAGCGTCATGCAATACCTATAAGCCAAAAGACAGATGATGCTAAGTTTTCATGGTAGCGAACGACGAACTATACCTGTTAACCAATCGGATGGCAGAACATATCGAAACACGAGCTCTGGTCCCGTCAGGGGCGTCCACGAAGTACGACGGACACAATTCGTTTAGGTGCTGCTCGTTGAATGTAACAGAGTTTTCTTCATCATTTTCAGGTGAAGCAACGTAAGTACGTAAAACCTTTAGGGAAGTACCAAGATGAAAGGCCACAAACAAGTAACGGGCATAAAAACTGTTTTAAATGTCCGGTGTTCAATAATACTGAAGGAATCTGGGAGCCACTGGCCTTCAGTCTGCCCCCCTTCCTTCCACAGACCTTTAAAATCTCGTGAGGATTCAGGCATCTGAATCTACCGCGTAACATCGTGCTTCGGCACCACACCATCGCTATTATCTCCTGATTTATAAAGGATGTGGCTCACTAACAAGAATCAGACTGCCATGTCTGGAAATTTCTTGAGTTTCATCAAAATAGCAATCTTTAGAAGCTTCATTTCTTCTACATCTGAGATCGCAATGTGATCTGCGTCTAACACTCATGATCACCTAGAGAAACAAATCCGAATAAAATGCAGGAGCCACGATGAACACTGGGGAAACTTAAGGACGGATGAAGGGCGTGGGTGAACTCATGCAGGTGCCAAGTCACCGTCTTAATCTCATTCACATCCTGAGGTAACACAGGCAGCAAAGGTGCGTTCTGAGCTATGTTTCAGTTAATTAATACAATATTGATTATCTTTTCAAGAAGCGTTAAAAAAATTATTTAAAGATGACAAACAGGGATTATCTTAGAGATACGGAACGAGGGCTTCAAAACTGGGCTAAGTGAATCATATCATTCATCTCCCAACTGCACTGGACTTAAGAGAGTCAAATGAAGCATGAACATCGCTATATTCACAGCAGAGCGGTTTAAATCCGCAGCTGATATATGCAGAAATGTTTTTTCAGAAAAATCTTAAAATCTTTCACGCTTTAAGAAGGCACTTCTCATTAGATGGTGTCATAACACGTTACACAATGGGTCGTTTCCCACGAAACGCGATATCGTTAGCTGCGTATGACTGAACTTTAAAATTTTACACTTCACAATGTCTCATTACCTCTTCGATCTTCAGGTATGCGTGCAGACTGCCTTGGAACAAAACACTTTCCTTGTCATCGACTAGGACGAAGTAAGATGAATTGGGAGCGCGTGCTCTGCCTAAACGAAACTGATTTTTAAACGTGTCACTCGAACGGCGTTTCGCTACTCGCCTTTCGACTGAATGAACGATCGAAAATTCCTCGGAATATCAAAGCGAACAACAAAGTTGCACTGGCGGACGTCAATGCCTTCCTCGAGAACGTCGGTGGATATTATCAAATTGAAATAATTCGAACGAAATCGACGAACAACCT